GCATGCAAGGCAAGCGCTCTACCACTGAGCCACCTTCCCAGCCCTGAAGTCTTGGGTTTCTAATACAGTCAGCAGATACATCTGAAGAGTAGTCATAATGTGCTAGGAATCTGGCAGGAGAACATGAGTTTTTGCAGCTCTGTTTATGGAGTTGGTCAAATGAATATGTTAGCTGATGGTCTGCTTTTCATAGTCTTCTACAACAGCTTTTGACAACACCTGGGTTTTCTTTGGAATGTGTGAGAAGGCATTAAAAGGGACAAAAATAAGTTATGCTTGTCTTTGAAAAAAATCTCAAAGAGTGACTGTGAAAGAAAGGAGAGCAGTTCTAATTTCAGGTTCAGTTTGTGATCTCTAAAAAAGTTAACTTTGCATCCATCCCAGGTTTTGCTCAGAATACTTTGATCTGGATGAAATTCCATTTTTGCAGTGGAGCAAATGAGACTTGAGAATAGGTGTTTACTAGTAGGAAAACAAAGAGACAGTAAAACTGTAATAACAAAGGACTATCTGAGCAAGAATTCTATCTCTTGAGGGATCTTAGAAATTACATTTTAAAGTTGCAGAAATGTGTGTGATAGTAAAGTGAACAAGAAAATTGAGTTTGTAATCTTTTTTTCCAAAATTGATCTGTTTGAATTTATAATCAGAATATTTTCTGTGATTTGTTTAATACAATTGGATATGAGAAGATAGTATTTTCTACTGGGCACTTGCATTTCCAATATATACATTATTTTTCTATTTTTTTGTTACTGTTGTTGTTGGTCATGGGGGCTGCTGACCTCTGGGCCTGGGTACTCTCCCTCTGCTCTTCAGCTCAAGGATAGTGCCCTACCACTTGAGCCTGAAGTAGAGGAGACTTGAGCTGGTACAGCTTCTTTCCAGGCTTTGCCTTTTTTTTAGGGATTTTAGGAAAAAAAAACCTCTAAACAAGGTTAACTCGACCTTGACTCCAACCAGCCCAGTTCTAGGAATGGAAATAATGCCTCTAGGTCCCCCTCCCCTTTACAAATGTAACCCATCTTGATTGTTCAGTTTAGGACTGACCCATAATAGGTTGTAATGTGGCTCCAACTGGCGACACCACGTGCTTATGGTAAACCCTGCCTTTTGCACATGCTTAAGGTAAACACTGCCTATTGGCCACCTGTGTGGTACGACTGTACAATACTTTGTGTGATACGATCCCATTGGTCACCTGTGCATGACCAGACTAGAACTCATGGATTTTTGCCTTTAAAAACCAAAGAATGGGGGCCGCTCGGGGTTGCAGTATCATCTCCCAAGCCTGTGCTGTGGCCCTGGCCGGTCAGTGTAGGAACCTTCTCAATAAAGTTGCTTCTTTATTAACAATTTTGTTGCGGTGGGCTCTGTCACTATGGATGACTAGGTGGGCTTGCCTGCCTGAGTAGGGAGTCTTCCTACTACAAGTCACAGTGCCACTTTTGGTTTTTTTCTGCTTATGTGTTGCAGAGGAATTGAACCCAGGGCCTCATGCATGTGAGGCAAGCGCTCTACCACTGAGCCAACTTCCCATCTCCTATTTTTCTATTGCTTTTAAAAAAATTAATTTGTTGTTGTTGTTGTTGGTCATGGGCTTGAAATCTCGGCCTAGGCGCTGTCCCTCAGCTGTTCAGCTCAAGGCTAGTGCTCTACCACTTGAGCTACAGTGCGACTTCCTGTTTTCAGCCTTTCTTGCTCAGGCTGACTTTGAACCTGGATCCTCAGATCTCAGCCTTCTGAATAGCTAGGATTACAGGCTTGAGCCACTGGCGCCCAGCTATTTTTTTCTTCCTCTTCCTCCTCCTCCACTTCCTCCTTTCTACTTCTTTTGGGGAACTCTGGGCCTGGGTGCTGTCCCTCAGCTCTTAAGCTTAAGGCTAGCACTGTACCACTTGAGCCACAGCTCCACTTCCGGCTTTTTCTTTTTGCTTATGTGGTGCTGAGGAATCGCACCCAGGGCCTCAGGCATGCAAGGCAAGTGCTCTGCTAGTGAGCCACCTTCCCAGCCCGCTTCTTTTTTGTTTTTTTTGGTCGGTCTTGGGGCCTGAACTCTGGGCCTGGGCACTGTCCCTCAGCTCTTAAGCTTAAGGCTAGCACTCTACCACTTGAGCCACAGTGCCACTTCTGGCTATTTCCCTATTTTTTTTAATTGTGAAAATACTGTACAGAGGGGTTACAATTACATGGGCAAGATAATGAGTACATTTCTTATCAAGCATTGTAGCCTCCTTCTTTGTTTCTCCTTCCCTATTTTCCTATTTCTTATTGACAAGAGATTCTAGATTGATGCCTAGAATGTATATCAATAAGCTTATCCACCCCTCAATTCCACTATCTAGTATAGTGGCAGCCACGTGATGTTTCTTTAGTACATAATGATTACGTGAAATTTAAGTAGTTTATGTACTCAATAAAAAGTAAATATGGAAAATAAGTTCCATTTGAAAACATTTTTTTTGCCAGTCATGAGGCTTGAACTCAGGGCCTGGGCACTGTCCCTGAGCTTTTGCTCAAGGCTAGCACTGTACCACTTGAGCCACAGGACCCACTTCTGGCTTTTTCTGCATATGTGATACTGAGGAATCAAACCCAAGGCTTCATGAATGCTTGGCAAGCACTCTACCACTAAGCCACATTCCCAGCCTGAAAGCATATCTTTGAAGAGAGCAAAACTTTAGATCACGTATGAGCAAAATCAAATATCCTAACGTGATTATAAATTTAACATAAATTGAAACTCAGTAGATATAGCCGACATAGCCTCTAGTGTGGGCAAACACGAGGAATCATATTGGGGAAAAGACATTCCAGTTGTAGAACTAGAGGTTTTGTCTGTAGACAACTAGGACCCTTTGGGAGGAAAAAAAAATTCAGGTCTCCTACAGTTCACTTTATTGAGGATAGAGTCCTGGTTGACCACAGAATAAAGTTTGAATTTTTATAGCTGCTTTCTGAAAATCCTTTTGGATTTTATGGTGTCTATCCATAAGCCCTGAGCGATTATGAGAACTGTGAGTTCTTTTCTTAGGATGACCAACACTTTCAGACTGACCTTGCTTACTATCCCGAACTTTACCCTGTTCGCCCTTCTAAAGCCTTCCCCCTTTAATCTGTTTGTGGACTTGGTCAAATTTCCAAGTTGTCAGGAAAGTTTCCCAGAAAAATTTCCCCAACCATTTCACATTTTGATGTGTCCTGTATCCTCAGGAAATCGCTGTGATGGGCTCTTGGGACAGTGGCTTTGACAAAGAAAACACCACGTAAATGATTTGTGGAAATGAATGTAAACCCCAGAGGGCAAAAGGAGAAGTATATTTTGGACCCTAAAGGAGGCCCAAATGCAGCTGAGACTAACCCCAGACTGGCTGGAAGAAAATATTACTCAACTTCCCAGTTATTTATTTTTCACTTTTAGAGGAGGATCTGCAAGCTGTCCTACAACCTCGCTTCCCCCCTCCCTCCC